TTAAAAGACATTTGTACCACTACAGCCAAAACTATTATTTTAAAATTTCATTTACTATTTTTAAAAGTAATCACGGCTTACCTACATATGCACATGCAAAATATGTAAGTTGGAAGCTTAACTTACATGGTTAACAGCATTTAACACAAAATCAAGTTTTTGCCGTTGGCCTTCCTCAGACTGCGTCACTTCTAGCACATCAAGTTTTTTACCAGTCAGTTTCTCCCATAATTTATGCAAAACCTACAAAGCATTTGATATGTATAAGCATCATTTTATTCCAACTTTTCCAAAATAAAATAAAGTGTCTAACTTGTCCATCGTATAAATCTTCTTCAATGCTTTGCACTATTATGCGTTGTTCTGCTAACTCATCATTCAACCAATCGATTAGAATGCGTTGAAGCTTAATTACTTCAGGATTATTTAATGACTGGGGGTCTATTACAGCACGCTGTTCTAAGTCCCTTAATGTATAGTCTTCTGGAGGTATATCAAATTGATTTGGTAATCCTGGCGATTCAATAGCGTGTTTGCCTTCTTCTTCAACTTTTTGAACTAAAGTTACAAAGAAAATAAATCGATTTGATTACAAATTAATTTGAATAAAAACATTGGTTAGTATGTGCATCAAAGTTCGATAGGTAATATTCGGGAAATTAAGTTATTTCCGTTAGTAAGGATGGTGTTTTTAAGAAGGTATCCCACAAGTACCGACCCCCACCTTGAACAAATTTTAATAAAAACGAATACATAAACACCAGGGTGTCTATTTTTCGAATATTGAATAAATATAGATTAAAAGAAAGTGCTGAAAACGAATGGAATGAAGTTGCCAAATATTTTCGGATTTGGGTGAATAAAGAATCTTGAAATGTTTTATATTATCTATTGTAAACAAGGCTAAAGCCTCACATTTTTGATAATGAAATATTCAACAGCGAATTCGAAATCTATAGATATGACCGGCTGAACAGAAAAGGAGGCGGTGTTTTGTTTGCTGTTCATTCTTCAATTCCATCTGAAGAAGTCGATGTTCTGCATGCAGACTTCATAAAATTTAAATGCATACGTATTTGCGCTAATAGTGGCCATATCTACTTAACTTTATCTTATATACCGCCTCACTCGGATATATCTGTTTATATGCAGCATGCTCATTAATAAATAATGTTTTCTCAATAGCTAGTAATACTGAAATCGTATCATGGAAATGTATTGATGATCACACCATTCCTATTAGTATTCGCTTATGTTTTAACGAGTTCTTAGATGAAATGTCGGGGTTGGGTCTTATCCAAATTAATTTAATTTCAAACGAATTAGATAAGTTCTTAGATCTAGTTTATGTTGATAACGCTTCAATGTTCTCCGTTGTCCGATGTGATCCTTTGGTTCGGCCAGAGGACCCGTATCATTCTGCTTTGAAAATTGACATCGAAATCATAACTAACTTTCCTCATAATAATACACAAACCCTTTGTTTTCGGTTCAACTTTGCGAAAGCTAATTTTAAGATGCTTAATTACGAACTTTCTAAAGTAACTTGGCTAGATTACAGTGGCAATATTGAATTTAGTGCTTCCCACTTTAATGAAACTATTTTAAACTTATTTGAAAAATATGTTCCGAAGTGCGTTATTACTCAAAAAATTAGTTCTAATTTATGGTTTTTGAAGGAATTATGTAAATTAAAAAATAGAAAATCTCGTGCTTTTAAAWTWWAAAAAAAGACTGGTTTAGTTGCTGACTATTAAAAATATTCTAAATTGCGTCGACAATTTGCTGAAACTAACAAAATATGTTATAATATAAATAAAATAAAAAATTACTAATTAATTAATTAATTAATTATTATACGTAACCCAAAATTGTTCTATGGTTTCGTCAACTCCAAACGCAAGATTTCTTATTTTCCGTCTGCTATGAAATATAAGTCCAGTATGTCTAGTGACAATCACACCATTTCYAATATGTTCGCTGAATTCTTCAAGTCCAATTACTCTCCAAAATCTCCAAAAAATGTTCCGCATCAGCACAAGTTATGTCCGATTTCTGTCATTAATGCACCTACTATTTCCGAAGCAGACGTCTTATATCAGTTAAATATATTAGAACAATCATACAATTATGGCCCAGATATGATTCCCTCGTGCTTTCTTAAGAAATATGCCAACCCCTAACGAAACTATTTAATTCATCTCTTATGTAAGGTTTATTTCCACCCATATTTAAAAAGTCATTTATAATTCCTTTACATAAGAGTGGATTTAGGTCATCTATTGAAAACTATAGGGGAATAGCAAAGAGTGGATTTAGGTCATCTATTGAAAACTATAGGGGAATAGCAAAGTTGTCTGCAATACCTAAACTTTTTGAACCAATTATAACAGACCACATAGCCTTCCGGATCTCTCCACTAATTTCTGGTTCTCAGCACGGTTTTCGTAAAGGGAAATCTACAATAACTAATTTGCTTGAATTTGTATCACATGTACCAACGGGCTTTAGGAAGAATAAGAACACTGATGTTATATACACAGATTTTAGTAAAGCTTTTGATAAAGTATCCCATTCAATTCTCTTGAATAAACTTGATCTTCTTCTTCACGTCATATTTAACGATCCTTTTTCTGACATAATCAATGTTCCTTCAGGCGTTCCTCAAGGTAGCCATCTTGGCCCAATTCTGTTCTTGTTATTTATTAATGACATATTGTCTGTTGTTAAGTTTTAAAAAATTTTATTATATGCTGACGATGTAAAACTTTTTAAAACGTATACTTCATACAGCGAAAGATGTCAGTTGCAAACAGACTTAAACAACCTAGTTTCTTGGTGTGATAGAAATGACATGCCATTGAATCTTAAAAAATGTAAAACGATGTGTTTTTCACGTAGATCTGTAGACCCTACTTTATACGCAATACAAAACTTTAGGTTGGAGCAAGAATGCAGTTTTGTTGATCTAGGAGTAACTATGGACCCCAAACTCAATTTTAATCTTCACGCATCTTTCACGGTTTTTAAAGCTAAAGGCGCTCTTAGTTTTGTTAAACGTTGGTCTGAAGAATTTAGAGATCCGCTTACCACGAAAATTCTTTCTACATCTCTGGTGATTCTTATATTAGAGTATGCATCTGTGGTTTGGAACCCTAGTTACCAAGTCCATTCGGATAAGTTAGAGTCCGTTCAAAAACAATTTTTACTTTTTGTATTAAATCATTTGCATTGGAATCCCACTTTAAATCTTCCTCTTACACTAATCGTTTAAAACTTAGAAATCTCCCGACACTCGCTAGTCGTAAGGAGATGCTTGGTATAATATTTCTTGTAAAACTCATGAATGGGTCAGTCTGTAGCCCATCTCTTTTATCTGATATTAATTTTAACGTTCCCCCTCGCTTTACCAGGCAGTTTAGACCCTTACTTTTAAAATTTTCCGGAACAAATTTTGAGCAGCACATTTGATCTAACAGATTCACTCTTTACCATAAAAAAATTATTTTATCTAATCTTAACAAGTAACATTTAAAAATTATAAACTTTAATTTTAATTCTTAATTTTGGCTGTTGAAATTTTTGTTTCTGTAGCTGAGCAGCTTAAGATCGCAACGCTTAAAACTCTCTTGCCTTTTATGACTCGGCTATTTCAGCTCGTTCGCGGATTGCGCCCCTCGCGTCCGTTGGGCGGGAGGAGGGTAATCGTTGGGTATTATTATTATTATTAATATTGGATTCTAATTAGACAATGTTGTTTGTTTTGGAAATTTTTAAGTTGCTGATTCTATTTCTCAATTTTTGTTTTGTTCAATATAATTGCATTTTCGTTTTCATATTAATTGCAGTTGCGGTCAAATACTTAGTGGTACGAGGCATTAATTTAACATATGTGATCATATTTTTTTATTACAACTTTTTTGTTGGGATGCACTTCAAAATCAGTTAGCGGCAATATTACGATTCTTTTGGCGCCGCGATTTGATGATACGGGTGGATAGAGGAGGTCCTCAGGATTAAAAAATTTATACACATATACCCTCCTCAGACTCATAGTTTACGAGATATTTATGTTTAAAGTCCAAAAATTTGCAAAAACAATCCTCGTTATTTCACTATGTTCAACCCACTTTTCACACATTTTTCAATTAATATATATTTAATTACACTGTACACATTCAAATATATAAAAAATTTACACTAAATTTGTATGTTTTAAAATAATAAATATATTTTAAAAACTATTTTGCACATTGAAACTTTCAAGAGATTTGTGTGTTTACATTTATGACAGTGTTGTGTCCTGAAAATATAATCAAAAATTTTTCTATTTCATATTTGACAATTCAAAATTCTGAATATAAAATAAATTTTCAAAGATATATATATATATATATGTCCCAGTGCAGAAAGTAGTTCGACACAAAAGAACTATGATCACCATGGTGTTGGACCGACCAGAGTTATTTTTTTTGAAGCGCCCCCGAAGGCCGCCAGTGCAGACAGTAGTTCGACACAAAAGAACTATGATCACCGTGGTGTTGGACCGACCAGAGTTATTTTTTTGAAGCCGAAGGCCGCCAGTGTAGAAAGTAGTTCGACACAAAAGAACTATGAACACCCCGGTGTTGGACCGACCAGGGTTATTTTTTTTGAAGCGCGGCCGAAGGCCGTCAGTGCAAAAAGTAGTTCGACGCAAAAAAAAATATGAACAAAACAAAATATGTGGCAACACTAGTATTTGTCATGACATGTAAATAAAAATAAAAAATTGCATATAAAATTGAGGAACTTTAAATGCAAATAACTTGTAAACGGTAAGTCTGAGAGGGTATATGCGACATTTTTTAATTAAGAGATTATCCTCTTTCAGATTATACCCTTAAATCGCGGCGCCAAAAGAATCGTAATCGTGCCCAGTTAGCTTCAGATGTTGAAATGAAAACATGCAACAACTTGTTTCGCTTGGCTTGTTGTTTTTGTTACATTTGCTGGACTTTTTATTTTCAAAGCGTTTCCGATCAGTCAAAATCTTAGTAGAGCGTGAAAGAAGTGTCTAAATTTTTTTGTAGTTTAAATGTTTAAATTTTACTTTTATTCATTTAGAAATGTTGAAAAATAAGAATTGAACGCCTGTGAAACGCGCTCTGTTAAAAAATTGCTTTATGAGGGCAAAACTTATGTCGAAGACTTCAATATGCATAGATACTCAAGGAAGATTCCATTTGCGGCTGCTACAGAGGTAAAAGATGCTTTTAATGTAACTAGAATTATTGAAATTAGTATATATGCTGGCTTTTGCGTGATGATAACTTAGGGGCCTACGATCCATAAAAAGTGACGTTATTGCCATAAATGCATGTTGAACAAAGACTTTGATTCGCTAAAGGAAATTTTAATTAGTCTTCTACAAAATAGCGGAACATTTTATGGTCGGACGAAACGAAGATTGTTAAGTATGACGGAAAAGGATCACGTCAATATGTAAGACGTCCGCCCAATACCGAATACCAGCCGAAATATACAACTAAAACGGTAAACATAGAGATGCGAGTATCATTGTTTTGCATGTTTTTCTTGACTGATGATCCCATGTCGAAATACTCCAGAAAATCGTGCAAAATTGTCAGTGAAGAAATTCAACTAGTTTGGACGTCACAACGATTCCAAGCACACAAGTGAAGTTGGTAAAAGGTGGTTTGGGAAACGAAAGACAAGGTAATGGAATGGCCGCCACAGCCAGTTTGTGGGCTGACGTCAAGGAGACAGTAGCCCGACATCGACCACTCAACTATGGCAGACTGTGAAGAACGCATGGGAGACAATTTCCATCGAAAGATGTCAAAAACTCGTTGAGTCAATGCGCTGCAATATTAAAAAATAAAGGTCGCGCACTAAATACTAATTTCACAAAAAGACAACATCCAATACTCTACTAATTTTTTTTATATCACTTATCACTTGGTTAAGCTATATTACCATTACTAATACTTTCGTATGTTGCTCAATTAAAGCAAAAAAAATACATATTTTTATTTCCATACATTTCTTTTTACGATTTCTCAACATCTTTAATTTCGTACCCGTGACAACGTTGAACACGGCGTAAGAGTCTTACGGGGCATCTCGACAGGCAAAAATTTATTGTGTACTGTCAAATATATTACCATTGCCGTTGCCTAATCGGTACGATTACAATTACGTGTGGATTGAACATTGTGAAATAACGAGCATTACTTTTAGAAATTTTTGAACTTTAAACACAAATATTTCGAAAACTATAATATATGGAAGAAAACTAAAAAATAGGAGAAATATATTTTTTCCTACAAATGTATTTCTTTCACAAAAAAAAAAATATTTCATATTTTCGGACTATAATAATTAGAGCATAAATAAAAAACCATATTGAGCAATGATATTTTTATTTATGCTTGTATAAGTATATTAAACTTCGTTCATTCGCCAATCCATTTTTATAGTTTTTCTGCAAATTAAAAATATTTGACGATATTTTAATTTTTTGAAAAAAAAAAATTTTTTTTTGAGAATGTACTTTATTCATATAATTTAACATTACCGTCTTAACAGTCGTTCTTTGAAATTTTTATAGAAATGAAAACTGATCCGTCAAACTGCTGAAGTGGCAGTTCATTGCTAATTTGTATGCCGTAAAAAGACAACATTCATCTATTCCTTAGGCAATATGGAGTCTTCACAGGCTATACGTACAGCAGTAGTAGTAGCAATACATTTTTGCCTGTCCAAATGCCCCGTTATAGTTTTTGGGATATTTTGTGTAGTATAAATAGTCATCACATATTTCCCCACTGGTGATTTTTATACCCTGAATAGGGTATATTAAATTTGTCACGAAGTTTGTAACACCCAGAAGGAAGCGTCGGAGACCCTATAAAGTACAGTAGCGTGCATAACTAAGTATATGGTTATCAATACTGCATGTATGGTTTCGTAAAAATTTTAGTACTTCATCAATTTTAACAACACTTTTGCAATTTGTTCACTTTTTTTTCCTCTTACAAAAGCCTCCTACCCTGTTTATGAAACAAAAAATGGAACGACCTGTTAGAAAACGAATTCTTTGCAATGCTATTTACTCAGAATTGCACGTTTAGCACATTCGACCAAAAAANAAAAAAAAAAAAAAAAAAAAAAAAAAAAAAAAAAAAAAAAAAAAAAAAAAAAAAAAAAAAAAAAAAAAAAAAAAAAAAAAAAAAAAAAAAACGATCGCGTGATCAACATAACGGGGATTTACCACAATTTTTTGTTTACTTATTCAGTTGCATTTTCTGTGCACGTGTTTCACTTTTTTTAAGTTTTTTGACGAGATAACATCTACTTAAAAAAATGAAGAAAATATCTGTTGAAACAGAAAATAGCATCGTGACATTGACATTGGTCTCTCGTCAAGGCAAATTGCAGATAAACGAAATGTGGTCCAGAAAACAAACAAAGGTGGCCGACCAAAATTGCTCACGGACGCATATGCACGCCCAATGATCCGGGAAATGTAAAAAGACAGCTACACCAGAAAGGGCCGCAAAAGCTATAAATAAGGGTGCAAGCGAATGGACAGCACGCAGAGAACTGAATCGGATTGCTTTTGAGTCAGCAGTATGAAAAAAAGCCGGCATTATCTGAGAAAAATAGAAAAGCACGACTCAGTTTCTGCAAAAGCCATACAAATTGGAACGTTGATGACTGGAAACGTGTGATTTGGTCTGACGAGGTGAAAATAAATCGTTTTCAATCGGATGGAAAAAGTTATTACTGGGGGCGACTCAATGAAAGGATTCAAAGACATCACATGAAGCAAACTATTAAGCATGGCGAAGGCAGCTTGATGATGTGGGGCTGCTTCACATATGGCATATTGGACCAATCCATAAAATCGATGGAATAATGAAAAAAGATGATTACCTTAATATATTGAAGACCTACTTGCCCGATTTTGTAGACAAAAGCGCGTACCTGGAGGAAGAAGTAGTTCAGGAGGACGGTGATCCCAAACACACTGCTAAAATTGTGAAGCAATGGGTGGTGCTTCAAATATTTTCGATGATGGAGTGGCCTGCACAAAGTCTTGATCTCATTCCGTTGAGAATTTATGGGCAATAATGAAAATGCGATTGGGAAAGTTCGAAAGAGCACCGAAACCCCTGGATGAGCTGTACAGCCACATACAAACGGAATGGAACAAAATACCGAATGAATTTATTCAAAAATTAGTTGAGAATATGCCAAAACGTATAAAAAGCGTAATTAAAAATAAAGGACTGTGGACAAAATATTAAACATTAATAAGTTATTATGGTTATTGCGAAACGAGCAAAAACGAGTAAATATTAGTATACTTTGAATTACTTCGTTATTTAATAAAGTTGATCTCTTATATTAAGTGTTATATTTTCAGTTTTTTAATGCAATACAAATAAAGAAATTCTTAAAGTTTTGTTTAAATTGATGTTTTATTAACATTTTTATATAATTATATGTGCAGCATTGGTAATCATTTACTCAGTTATGCACGCTACTGTATATATATAAATGATCAGTATGTTGAACTGAGTCGATTTAGCCATGTCTGTCTGTCTGTATATATACGAACTTATCCCTCAGTTTTTAAGATATCGTTTTGAAATTATGCAAATGTCATTTTCTCTTCAAGAAGCTGCTCATTTGTCGGAACTGCCGATATCGGATCACTATATCATATAGCTGCCGTACAAACTGAACGATCGGAATCAAGTTCTTGTATGGAAAACTTTCACATTTATTGATATATCTTTACGAAATTTTTCGGATCGGCTTCCTATAGCATATAGCTGCTATACAAACCGAACGATCGGAATCAAGGGCTTGTATGGAAAACTTTTGCATTTGAAGTGGTATCTTCACGAAATTTGACATTTTGACAATATAATCTGCAAAAAAAATTTCAGATCGGATTACTATAGCGTATAGCTTCCAAAAAAATGCACATGTGAAGGGTATATTAGTTTCGGTTAAGTTAACGTTTTTTCTTGTCCCACTGTGATTGCATATCGAAACTGCGATTACTTTTTGTAAAAAGATGTTCTATAAATACTAAGATAACAGTTTCATTCTGTGAATTGTGACATCAGTTTGATTTTAGGTATTGCGATTGCGATAGCAGTTCAAAAAAAACTTGTGAAATTGCGATTTTTTAACAGTACAGTTTAAGGGGTTATATACAGTTAGAATTTTAAAAAAATCGTTTTTTTTTGCGTTTTCTTAATATATACATACACTAGGCATCAAATGAAAGTATAAATTTCACAGACGTTATTTCAATGCAGTTTTATTAAAATAAACAATTTACAATTCATACATTAATATAATATTACATTTACATAGGTATTTAAGTAACAAATTATAAATTAATATATTTTTTCCCAGAATAGAAAGAAAAAATTTTGTGCCCCTTTAAAAAAATGGACTTTTAAATAAAAGTGGTTTTTAAAAAAATACAAAACTTTTGGTTTAAAAGTAAATTTATTAATTAATATTGCCTTTTTTATACTGAATTACTGCACGAAGATGTTTTGGCATGCCTCGAACCAAATTTTCTAATATTTTCTTTGGAAAAATGTCAAGTTGATGCTTCGTCTCTTCCAAGTATGTACGGCTGCTTTTTGGAATCAAAAATTAACCACAAATGCTTAATTGGATTTAAAGCCGGTTACTGAGCTGGACAAGCCAGCTTTTCTTTAAGCCTTCTTCAAAAAAGCGAGTGGTCAGGCGAGATGTGCGTTGGGGGTGGTTATCTTATTGAAAATAAACGACCCCAAGTTCACTTTTTACGCATTTATTTTCAAATTTTCGCTAAGAATGTCAACATATAAGCAACCGTCATTCGTAGATCGATTTTTAATACACTACCTACAGCAAATTTTGAGAACCAGCCCCAAACCATGAGAGAACATCCTCCATGCTTCACTGATGATTGTATGCACTGTGGTTTTAAGGTTTACACGTGTTTTTTAACTCCTTAGCTCGAATTTGAATTAATCGGACCAAATAACTTTATCTCAAAATGGGGTTGGAAAGTTTTGATTTTTTTTTTGCAAACTCTAGTCCTTTTTTCGTACTCGAAATGTAAAACATAGGTCATTTTTTTGCGACTTAGTTTTTAAAGTCAGATGTTTGTATTTTTCTTTTCATTGTACTAATTTAAACATCCGCACCAAAACTTTTAATAAAATCCCGCGATAATATTTTAAGGTTTTCAGGAGCTTTTCTTCGTACAAGTCGCTCAGCGTGTATAGAAATTTTGGACCTTGGACCTCCTCCTTATTGAGTCTTGCATCTCTTCCTTCTCTTGAAGTATTCAAAAATCTTTCTTGCCTCTCCGACGGAAATGGAATATTTTTCATATATTTTTTAATGCGTTTCACCCCTCTTCCCTTCTTTTACAATTAAGATTTGATTCTCTTCAGTTTTTCGTATTTTTTTTATTAAGAAACAGAACAAAAATATTTTCACCATAACAGAAATTCCCTTAATAAATGCAAATTCATTAAATCTGTAGTAAAGTACAGTTTTACCTTGACAGAAATGAACCAAAACTAAAATTATACTTTCATTTGACGCGCACTCATGGGCTCAGCAGCGAAGACTAATCACTCTCGATGGAGTAAATATGTTTTGTGTCCAAATAATAAGTGCAAATTTTACTCCAACTGTTTATTTACATAACGCCTCTACATGAAAATATTTATGAATTTATTCTTAAGCGAAAATGTAGGAAGTAAATGAATGATCTGAGGTTACTAGTATATATTACATTTATACCTTCATTTGATGCCTAGTGTATATATCTGAGTATACACACACAAAATTTCAAGTGCTTTCAAAACTTTAAACTCGTTTTTCTCGA